CTACGACTCAGTGAGACTTCTCAGTAGCCATAATTACAGTATTGCCCTGCCAGATTGCTTTCATTTGCTCCTTTTGAGCCCTCCTAGTCACCATTTGACTACTCCAATAGGCAGAAAGGTGGAACTCTAAAATGTGGGCCTTTCCCTGCACTGAACTGGGGTGCAGCAACTTTTGAGGGCTGCAGTGATTTGCTGGTTTGACTTTGAAATTGCTATTTATTTCTCTGGGATTGATTTTATAGCAATTCTATTTGCCTTCACCTGCATGATTTAAGAGTTGCACCTTGAAGAAGGAGCTGAAATGAGGGCTGTTCAAGAGTGTTCTCCACCCTCAAGTATAAAACCTCCAGCTTAAAATACAAACAACAGCTGCAAAAGTAAGGTTTCCACTAAGCACTGCCTGAGACAGCCATTCATCATCCAGGCTACAGAAGCTGCTCAGGCTCTTTATTGCTTTGACCTCATTAAAAGCATGTGAGGCATGCACTGATGTAAATCTGTGTCTCTAAATACTTTCCTCTTTAATTTTTTAATAGTTCGCAGATGAAGGGAAAGGTTAAAGTCAATTAAAAGAGATACAAATACCATTATTATTGCCTGGCAAACCGTTAGTTATTGGATTTGGCCGTGTCGCTCCAGAAAGTCATTATTTTTCTTTCTGAATGAATTCATAATTACACTGTTTATTGACCTGCCTCTTCATTTCTTCAGTGTGGTGAAATATCTTATTTATCTTTCAGTCTATTATTTTATGGAGGCCAATCCTTTTTGCAACAGAGCTTCTTACAGATAAGTAAGGAATTTTATATGCAAACTCTATAGTTTAATAATTCTTTTATAGACTCAGAAGGTTCCAAGGAACATGGGAAACTCACACTGAAAGGTATTCCCCATTAACTACATTAAGAAGATCTAATGCATGGTCTACTACCAGTGTTGAAATGGGTTGTTCATGAAACAATGAATAGAAGGTACAATGAATTGGGATGCATTGATTTGTGGGCTGCACCTACACCTGGAGTCTAGGGAGGATACTTCTACTAACCAGGAGAGGCATTGCAGACTGATCATATAATGCAGAAGGTTTAAAAAATTATTTTTATTTTTAAATCACAGATGGTCAGTTTTATATGAGCAGTCACAAGTCTCAGTGACTTCCATGGACACATTCTTAATTTTAGGTAGGCTCATTTCTTTGAAAACGAAAATATTCACATGTCAAGAGTTTTATTTGCATTATCTTCCATTCTTTACCAATATAAACTTATTATCTCCCAAAATAAGTACGAGTTGCTTACCTTTCACAGTAATTTCTACAATTAAATCTGTCACAGTACGAGCCACCACTAATATTTTAAATCTCACTCCCAATCCCAAATATCAGGCAACCACTGTACACAATGTTTTAGCAATATAAAAGGGAAGAATATTTCCTTTAACAAGACAAATCACTTACTTTGTAATAACCCCCCCCCACAAAAAGAAATTGATCAATGAATAATCATGAGACCCAAATTTTATATTTTATTGCTTTTAGCCAATGGCTGTTGCATAAAACAATGCCACGATAACAACAAAATACAACAAAATAATACTTATCATATATCCAACATTAATCGTATGATTATACAGCAATTTACAAAATTTAGTAATTAAAATTTAAAATAATATATAAAGTTATTAAATGTAATCATCACCTTAACAACTTATGGCCATCTCTGCTATATATTCCTTCCTGATTTTTTTGGCTGTTAAAACATACAAAGCTACTCGCCAGGTCACACACTTGTCCATATCTCTTATACTATAACAAGTTATGTTACCATTATGATTAATTTTAGCTGTTTTAATCTGGCCTTAAACCTGCCTCAGGTTCCATACCTGGCAAAAAACAAAAAACAAAAACACTCACCCCCCCCCAATAAATAAATAAATAAATAAATAAATAAAGACATAGCCAGAAAAGAACATTGTGGAGAAAGGGGGAAGGGAGAGCAATAACATCTGTAGACAAGACCTGAAAATCCCCATATTCTAGGCTCAATTTGACATTACGGACACTTATAATCATTGAACTCCACAGGCTCATGCAAGCTTAATGTTGGATTGTGGCCTCAAGGATTCAGGCGGCTATAATATTTATTTATTTATTTATTCATTCATTCATTCATAAGAAAGATATCCCACCTTTCTCCCAGAAAGGGATTCAAAGTGTGTAGTCAAACAGTACTGACAAGTGAGAAGCAGAAGGGTGATGATTTTGGTGTATGTACGTATGTATGTATGTATACAAACTTAAACACTAACCACAATGTAGAAAAAAAAATAGTATGACTAGCCAAAGCCACAGCAATTTTAGGCAGGATAAAAGACAGGACATTGCTCATTTAAATATATATAATATATATTCTTATATTTTTTTCATGGTTGGAGTGACATTAGTGGCATATTCTGCCTTGTGTGCCAAAATACATTGATAGGCTTTGGGTATTACTACGCCTTGGATGGCTAGAGATACACTAGACACTGAATACACTAGAGAGATGTTGTACATGGGAGATGCCCATTTGCCTTAGCAAAATGTCTTAGAACAGCCCTGGGACAGGACCTTAACCCTAGCTTCTGACTAAGTACAACATTTAACTGCAAGTAATATTCTTAAAACCTTTTTTTTTCCTGTGAGAAAGCAGATCATGCTAATATCTGCTGCATGTTGCATGTATAAGGATATATTTCTTTAACAGACTTTTAATAAAGAATCACTATTTTATTCATGCTCATTACATTTTGAATTTTCTTCATCTAGATCTCTATAATAGTAAATATAATTAAAACCATCTTTAATAACTTTGGTACCTTGAGTTGCAGGTGCTAGTAATGCTGTATTTATTATCATATTTTAAGGCCTCTGAAGAGACTGCATTAATTCCTATGATAATTTGGAACCCATAATACATTCTGAGTTCTGAATAGATGTTAATCACTGTAGAATGACTGATTTTCCTGTATACTAATGAAGTCATGCAGTAACTAGTAGCTACTAACTTTCTAAATTCAATATTGCCAATGAAACAGTTGATTAAAATGTTGCTAGCATAACAATTCCCCAGGAGAGTAGCTGAAAAAAACCAAAAACCAATCGCAAACTGCTAGGGTTGTTGGTTTCTTTCTAGAGAGGTTATTAAGACAATTACAAATGTTTATATTATCCATAACACTGTCTGTCGTGGAAATTAATACAAGTAATTTGTGCATATTTGTCTTTTGTCATTTCCATCTGGCTAATGCAGGAGCAATATCACAAAGAGCAAGTAATATATTCCACATTATTGATACAGTGGTATTTTTTAATGTCAAAGGGTACGTGACACAGGAAAGGGTACAGAACAGGCCTGTTTCAAGCAACAATTAATCTAAATTAATGAATTTTAGTAGGCATGCAACCTTAAAAAATGGAAACAAGCAATGTATATCTACAAAATTTGGCTACTACTTTACAGATGAACAACTCTGGATTCATATCCATTCTATTTTCATCTGCAGACCACGATTTCTCAACAATAGTAATTTTGATGTGGGGTTCCCTGAGATTAGAACATTACTTCAAGGTTTCCTCCAGGGTAAAATAGTTCAGAAAAACTGCTAATGTATGTTTCACAGTGCACACAGGTGTGTGGAATAAGACATCTATACTATAAATTGTTGGTCTGTCTCTTTTGCTATAAAAATCCATCTGCTTGATAACAGTGCCACCAAACGTAGTGTGTTACCCAATGGGTGCAAATAAATTTCCCCCATCAATCTATGAATCATCTCAATTACCTCATGAACAGCCTACGGACCTACCACCCTGAACATACCTGATGTCATCAATTACCTAATGAACAAACACTTTTAGATCTCTATATTTCCCCATTCTAGAGTGCAGATTTACAAACCATTTGGACCAAAATTGATATTTGTACTTAGGATGCTATTCCAAACATTTTCATGAAAGTTCAGGGCCAATTAGCAAACTGATGTTTCCCCCCCCCCCCAGAAAACAACTGGATTTGGTCCACTTTTCATAGACCTTGGTATGAAACAGATTTTCAGACTCAAACATTTGTTTCATTCAAATTATAAGTGAAAGCACCAACATTTTACCCAAGGACCCATGTACATACAATGCATAATATACAATACACACACAAACATACAATCACCAACAAATTAATCTGAAACAGGGTGAGAGATAGTGCTGGCCAAATTTCTTAGTATTTTATATTTTTACATTCAAGATTTAAAATAGGTCTGTAATTAGAAAAGAACTCTAAAATTAATACTGAGAGGTAAAATATCTAAACTACTGAATACTATTATGAAGGAGTTGACAAACTGAGGCCCTTTCACTATACAATTATAGTACTTTGATATCAGTTTAACTGCTACGGTTCCATTCTAGGGAATCCTGGGAATCCTTACAGTTTTGGGTACTTACAATTTTCCATCAGAGAGGTCTAATGTCCCAGGGTTTGAAAGGATGGAAGGCAGTTAAAATGGAACTATATTGCTATCATTGTATAATATGAAAGGGAGACTAATGTGCTGGACTATAGTCCCATGATCTCTGGACATGGACCATGCTGCTGAGACTTATGGGTGCTGTATTCCAAATGTCTCAAGGGTACAAATTATTCTATGTCTGCTAGGATGCCTGGTGGTGCAGTGATTAAATGCTTGTACAACAGCCACTTATTCACAAACCGCAAGACTGCGAGTTCAATACCAGCCAGGGTTCAGGCTCAACTCAGGCTTGCATCCTTCTGAGGTCGCTAAAATGAGTACCCAACTTGTTGGGGGCAATTTTCTTATGGTTGTAAACTGCTTAGAGACCACATAGCATGGTATGAAGTGGTATATAAATGAAGCTGCTATTGTTACTATGTATACTGATTTAGTCCTTGATATCATATAGTTTGAGTCCCACATTTTATCTGCTGTATATAAACATAAAGAGAGCTAGCATGGTGTAGTGGTTTGAGCATTGGACTAGGAATCTGGAGACCAGGATTCAATTCCCAGTTTAGACATGAAACCCACTGGGTGACTTTTAGCAAATCATCATATGCTTTCAGCCACAGGGAAGACAGGCACCCTCTGAACAAATCTTGCAAACAAACAAAACCCTGTGATAGGTTCGCCTTAAGATTGCTATAATTTGGAAATGACTTGAAGGCACACAAGAACATATAGATATAAATATCCAACACTTTTGGTTAGGCTATGTGCAGAACTCACTACCCAATAACTTCTTGCTTTTAAAAAGCCCTTACCTGTTCTCTATTTTTTTTAAAAAAAATAAAGAGAAGCTGAAATAGAGTTTCTGTCTGCCCATTCAGTGTGCATAAACATATGGGATCTAAATATCTGCCAGATTTCATTTCACCCACTCCATTCTGTATTTCTGAGAATTAATAATCAATAAGGGAAACACTGCTGTTCTGGTGCTGCTATTATCATGTCTGGGACAGAGATTTTGATGAGGATTTCAGGAGGGGGGGCTTTACCATCTTTCTCTACTAGCTAGACTGCTGGAAGGGACGCTAGTTCTTATGAGCAATGAGAAAACAGCTTTTGCCTCTCCTTCCCCATATTCCTGGTGATTCCGCTGATCTGACAGAGGAGATACCATATTTTTCGGCATATAAGACGCTCCGGCATATAAGACGCA